GCGTAGTGCGCATTCACTATCTCTGTGCACTACCAAATCTTATGTCCAAGAGGGCGAGCATTGGCCACTAGGACCGTATCAAGGAACTAGAATCGGCGCAGAAGCTATGACTTCCTTACTGTCTTTAAAGCGGTGGAATACCGCCCCTGACCCAATGATTTGACCATATCCTCTCTAGTCAGGTCAGGGGGTATCGTTGGGAATTACTCCTGAAGAGCTGCGGTAGCCTATAGCTCTTTCTATAGCTGTACAGTCCACTGTTATATTGATCCCCTCAACAGTGGTTATAAAGTACCCCTCGCCATCATCAGCGTTATTGCCAGTATATAAAACCAAAGTGCGGTAGAACTCACGCACTAATCGGGGATAAGTTATCTGTGTTGCATACCTCAGAAATCCCGTCAGTTGACAAGCCCGCAGGGCCTCTACTGCCCAAAATGTATATCTATGCCGCTCAAAATCAGCAATCACAAAATCTGTCTCCTGCTATATAGTACTGTATCTCCAAGCCTCTGCTAGTGCCATGGCCGGAGTCCGAACAACTTTCTGTTGCGAATGTTTAGGTATCCCTACAACAATGTCCAAAGTCTCTCGCAATCGAACGATATCATATAGAATAGTTCTACGTAGAGAGGATGTCGAACTCGCAAAGAGATGGAATTTGTATTAGCCTTTAAATTAATTTCATGGTTTACAAATAACTTGGTTGGAGAGTTTGTTGGTTGTCATAATTTAACAAACTTAAATAAAACAAAATACTAAATTAAAGCAAATTAAACTAAATTGGATGATCAGAGAGGGAAAACCTTAGGGCTTTGACTTCACCACAATCGTTATACTATGGTCAATTGAATCAACTCTGGGACTTTAATCAATTCTGTTTTCAAATAAATTGAACTTAATAACATTCGTTCATTTTGGAGTTTAAAGAAAGATGTTTTACAAAATTAGCTAACTATAACCTATCTACGGTTAGCGCGAACTATTCGCCTACCTACTCTACCTATTTTAACTACTTTGCGAATGAACCACCTTTCCTAAGCATAGATTATGAAAACATTCTTTTGTAAAATACATTGGAACACCATTATATGACCTCTATTCTTGTGTCCAGTAGTGCTCCGCCAGATACCGTACAACAAGGTAGGTTGAGAATAGAATATAAATTATTATATCTAAGATAAGGTAATAACAATTTATATTCTACTAAAGCATGAAAAACCACTTGAGTTGTCTCAAGTGCTCATATTCATATAATCAAGAAAACATTACATATTAAAATAAATTCAGAGTCAAAACAATCAAACCATAATATAACGTTGGGTTACATTAGTGCCCTAAGAAAGGGTTTAGCTACTCATGATGAGACTTGATAACATCTGTGTTGAGTTCATCTCCATCGTCACGGACTGCACTTCTCTTCTCACGATCTGCATATTTAAGGTTGTAAAAACCTTAAAAGCCACCACACCTTCAGCCTTTTGAATAACACCGTAAAAAGCGATTGAAATTTCAGACGTCTTCTATCAAGGCTTACGCCTTCTTTTATTGAAGAAAATAATATTTGGTGGGCTTCTAGGTCTTTTGGCCTAACTGGGATGAGATACGACTGGTAAAGAGAGTAATCCCGCAGCTTTTAATCTGACATGTCATTGAAGGCTTGAGCTTCATGTACGGATGCTCAAGCTTTAGGGTTCATGCTTGAGCATAACGATCAATACTCGAGCTTCTCTGGATAGATGCTTGAGCTTTAATAAATGGTGTTTGATCCTCAGTTTGACATTTAGCTAATTTTCTTCAACTATTTTTCGAAGCGTCTTTTTCTTCAACGCTAAGAATATTTTTGGGGTTGAACTCTTTTAACATTGCTCGATCTAAGCTTCATGGGCTCGAGCACTAGGTACCAGGCTCGAGCATTTGGGGCTCAATGCTCGAGCATCAATGGATGATGCTCGATCCTTTGTGGATAATGCTCGATCATAGAGGTGAGGCACGAGACCTGGGAGCATAGCCTTCAATTAAAATTAACTCATTAATTTCTGACGTCTCATGCTCGAGCTTTAGGGTCAAGGCTCAAGCACCCTTGGTTAAGGCTCGAGCACCCTGAAGTAAGGCTGAATCACCCTTGCCGTAAAGCTCGAGCATCAAGGTGTGATGCTTGAGCCTCAACACTTGGACTCGAGCTCTAAGGCTTGAGTTACTTCAAACTTCACCAATGTAGCTCTCGGCTTGCTCTGAATGACTGGCAACAACTTTGTAAGCTTCGATATCATCATAAAGTCCCGGTTTTAACCATTTATCTGGGAAAGTACCTATAAACACACATTAAACATAAATTAGTCTAATAATGGATAGAAGTATCAGTTTAGGCCCTAACATATACATACTTAGGGGCTCGAATATGCATATATTCAGCGCTCATCACACCCCCAAACTTACATATTACTAGTCCCTTAGCAATACAGAACTAAAAAGCCACTTTCGTGGGAATCACGGTTGCATTTAGCTGATGCAACAAGCCTTTAAACCCCTAGTGGACGAGTTGTAGTCTCGTGAGGTTTCCAGTGAAGATACCCACAAACTTCTCAAATCAGTGCCTTAAATGCACAGCATGCTTATTCAAGCCTGTTTTCAAATCATATCATCCCTACAGTTCATTAATCAGTCAAATACAACAAGTATACCAATCATATAATCAGAACCACTTTCAACTTCCAATCTCAATTAAGCAACCATAGTCCCCACATATCAGTTCAATCATTTATTCAACAATTTTAATCTCTAAAACACTTGAAAGAAACCCTACAATTCATCATGTGGCTTACTGTCCATACATGCATTTATTCCTTGTTATTCCTCAATTCACAAGCAGACTCTTCAAATTCCAACTCCCAAGGCATTTTTATTATTTTTTTTCGGGTGTGCATTTTTTCAAAAAGGATACTTGTGCACTGTCGAGGTTTATTAAGATGTCTAAATTACCCTTGTAGCGAACTTTCAGCCAATGACTCTCAGATCAGATGGTCTTAGGGTATAAAATATTAAAACACCCCTAAGGACTTAATTATTCAAGTAATCTAGGCAACCTAAACCCCTTATGTAACAAGCTTTCTGCCAATGACTCCCAGACCAGACGATCTTAGGGCATTAGGTGTCAGAACACACCCCTAAGGACTTAATCACTCAAGCAATCTAAGTACAAACCTGAACTTGATCTTTTTCTACTTTTCTTTCTCTCTTTTTTTTCATCATATATATATATAATTTTTCATTCACATTGGTGAAGAATTTTTTTTCTTTTGTTGCATACATACCAATATTTCTTTTCTTTTTTTTCTTTTATGCCTAGGTCATCAAAACTATCAAATCTACTTGATCATCTCAGTCTAACTCAAAACTCAATAAGACTTCCAATTTCTACCTCACAGACTTCATGCAAGTGTAAATATTGTGTAAAGTGTAGCATCTTAGAGATCAAAATCATTAAACAATAATCATTCGAACAATGTGGACCATAGGCCATTAACCGATTTCAAAAAATTTCAGGGAATCTTGTTCACATTATTTTAGCATACATACCATCTCTAATCAACATTAAACTGCAAATAGAGTATATAACTATCAACAGACTCAAGCACATACTTATATCATCAAATAGCAAATCACATCCTTGTGCAAGCAGATTAAAAATTAAAAATTTTCCAATTAAAAATTTAATTTTCCAAGCCAACCTTTACCACCATACTTATTGGGCACATAATCCTCAATGTGGGAGAACAAAAAAGAATTAGAGAGATATTACCATACAAGCAGACTAGCAAAGATAGAACATAATAATGCAAAAATGGGTAAAAAGAATTTCCAGCATCTCCTCCTTCAACATAGTGGTTCCTCAAAACCACCCAAAGTTGCTATCAGTCAAATCACCCCCAAACTTAATCTGTTGTATCTGGCAAAATCAATAAACTCCAACACACATTAGAGTAACAAGTATATATGGAGTAAGCAGAGATAGAAATAACAACACAAAGATAATATAACCAAAAAGCATGTATAAATATCAGAAATCAGTACAATACTTTTGAAAGAAAGACTTAAGGCAGAAATACATCATATAGAAATAAATACAGCAAAAAGACTACCTTAGTCAACAAAAAAATAGAAAAGTCCTAAAACTAATCCATAGGTGGTGGTGGTGGAACGGAAGAAGTGGATGGAACGGACGGAGTGCGGCGAAGCAACTCCTTTAATATGCTCTGCTACGCAGTCAACATCTGACATAGTACTGTCTGACCATCCTGCAGCTCGGCCACCCTGGCCTGTAAAGCTCTAATCTCAGCCTGAGAAGAACTCTCAGGCTGTGTTGCACAAACGGGTCTTCTCCTAACCTGGGGCTTAGAATCGGAGAGATAGACCTCCTCATCCGTAGCCTCCTCATCATCATTATCGTCCTTATCATCGTCCGCCGCTGCCATCACCACATTAGCAGGGTCGGTAGAAATAATAGTAGGCAGGGGTGGATAAGGTGGAACGTGTAACTCGTAAGGCACACCTCTCGCCTCGGCTTCCCTATGCCGTCGATCCTCTCGGATCTCATCGTCAGCACCCCACTCCAGCTTCATCTCCTTGGGCATATGCCTAAAGATGTTGTTCCACTGCGTGAAACGATACTGGGTGAAGATAGTAACATCAGCTTCATTTGGGGCTATCAGAACCTCCGCTATCTCCATCAGGTGTGTGACCAGCTTAGGAAAGTGAATATGATGAATAGGAAAACGTCGGGCCTTTCCCATCTCCTCATATAGTCGGCAGAGCTATACCAAAACTAACTGGGGAATAGACACCCAGTAGCCGGCTTGGAATGCATAGGTCACATCCACCATCTCTGCACATCGTACTATCTTGTGTCCGATAAGGAGAGCATTGGCCATAAGGGCCGTATCCAAAAACCAGAAACGTCTCGAAAGCTGTGACTTTTAGATTGTCTCTAAGGTGGAGACATGGCGTCCCTGGCCCAAAGCACGGACCATCGCCTCCCGGGTCGTGCCGGGGGGAATCGGTGGAAATCTGGCCTGAAAAATGACTTGGCACTTATGATGGCAACCCATAGCTTGAGCAATAGTGTCACAACTCACTATCAGCTATATGCCCTCAATAGTGGCTGTGAAATAGTCCTCCTTATCCTCCTCCTTGTCTCCTACATGGAACTGCAAGGAGCGGTAGAAAGCTTGCATTAGCCTGGGGTAGGAAATCTGCGTTGGATGCCTCAAAAACCCAGAAAGCTAGCGAGCCTGCAGGGCTCCACTGCCTAGAATGTATCGCGGTGCCTCTGAAAATCCCCTATAACAAAATCTGTCTCATCACAGATCTTGCTATACCGTTATGAATCATCTAACGCCATCGCCGGCTTCCTAACAACTCTTTGCATCGGCCGTCTTGGCATCGCTATAATCTAAGAATAATATCTAAGATAAACCCCCAACTTTGTGCTCTATTGCTCGAGCCTGAGGTATGGATGCTCGAGCCTGGTACTAGCTAATGCTCGAACTTTATGTCCTGATGCTCGAGCTTGCTGCAAGCAAATGCTCGAGCCTCAATCTGAAGGCTCGAGCTTCCTGGTTTTCAACCGAAGCTAATCACCCTTAACTCTCCTCCAAAATCACTCGAAATCAGAATAACACCACCCCAATACTCCTTTTATACCACTAAACAAGCCCACAACTTCATATATTTGCTCAATATACCTCTAATCAACCAAACTCGTGTTCGTCAAATCCAAGTGAGATTCAAAATTTCTGCAAGTTTTTGGATGATTATAGGCATTATTCTAAATGTAAAACTTGGCCACACTCATCAAAGTCCGACATCTCTTTTGTAAACTTTTGGTGCATAGGTACGGCAAACACCACATACGTATATTTTAATTGGGTACCATAATATGAGCTTGAGATCTCAGGATTGATAGTTAAGATTGGCGTATATTGCCAGATGAGATGGATAGCTAGATATAGGGATGTGTATGCCTTGGTAAATGAGGTACTCATAACCACCTTGTATGCGCTTGCATGAGACTTACTATCCGGTTGAGGCTATCTTATGATCCAGTGAGAGTCTATAATATGTATACTATTGTATATTGACCTACATAGTTATTGTATGAGTCAGACTAGGATGGATCGTGTATCGAGTCTCTGTTTGGGATATAGTAGAAAGAGCTTGTTCGTGGGTTTTGACCCACCTTTGTTGTTATCTTTTCAGGTCCTCATCAGTTCCAGGCGTAGAGTCAGTTCGTGCAGAGCAGAGGTCGGTCTTCTTCACTCTTCCGGTGCATCAACGTAGGACTCTCAATTATGTTTTTATTATTTCTGAGATAGACATTTATTATTCATCTATTAGTTTGAGATTTTTACTAGTGGTCCATATTGTATGAATTCCCAAGTTGTACTCTGGTGGTTTTATTCTTTTAATGAGAATTTATTGGAGATTTCGGTATCAGAGAATTTATTATTTAATTATTATTTTAGATTTCCCTTTCAGCATAAATATTTATTTTATCATTATTTATTTTCTATTTTATACTTGTTTATTATTGATTGGCTGATATTCCCTAATTTTGTGCACGGACTTGATCAACCCGTGTTCCAAAATTAGGGGTATCACAGTTGGTATCAGAGCACTCCAGGTTCAAGTGTCTCTAAGGTTCTTTCGTTATAAGACTTCCGCGTAGCATATTCTTTTATTTAGAGCATTAAGTTTAGGATTCATTGTATTCCTTTACGGTCCATCTAATTGTATTGTCATCTATCTTTCCATGTTAACAGAATGGTTAACATTGGAAAAAGATAAGAGAGGCAACAAAGGAAGGCAGAGCGTAAGCGTCAGTATCGTTTACAACGTTGAGCTGTAAAGAGGCAGTAGGCACTTTTGTTTCAAAATTAGTAGCATATCAATTGGAGGTGGTATAACAGACACAGGAGTCTCAGGATTGGGGCCACACTCAGGGCAGGGATCTAAAGATCCTCCTCAGTTAGCTTACATCCTTGCTCAAGCTGTAGCAGCAGGCGTAGCAGCTGCACTTTGGAATCAGCCGCATGTTTAGCAGCCATGAAAGAAGCACAAGGGTAGTTCAGATGCTCACAGATATGGGGCACCAATTCAGAAGCTGCAGAATGGGGAACCACAGGCAAGACAGGGTCAGCCACAGGCCAACCAACAAAGAAGACAGTTTGGCATTTTCAGGGGTAGTTGCTATACTTGTAGAGAGCTTGGACACACTTCCAGGCAGTGTCATAAACAAGGAGATACCAGAGCATTCAAGAACGAGGGTATTGGATCACAAGGATGAATGCTCTTTTAAGAGTGATACTTATTTATAGTAGTAATGGAATTATTATTAAAAGAGTGGTACTGTTTAAATCACGTACACTAGTATTGTTTTATCTTTAAAGAATATAGGATGATTTTTCTTTTGGAAGTATATGGTTTAAAGAAGTTCTTATTAAAGTGAACTGGTTGATTTGGTATTTATTGTGCTTCATGAGAGCAAATTTTTTATTATTATTTGCATAATGGTCTTGTTAAACTATATTGGAAAATGTTTGTTGTGATAATAAAGGAGTATCACAGTAGAGTGATTGGTGCTTGGGCAGGCTAACAAATTTTTGCTTATAATTATGTTGTGTAGATACGGGACGATTACCAATGAGTTTGTAAAGGAACTTGTGGGAATCAATTCTGTAAGTTGATTTCAGAGGAAGGATTCCCAATAAAAAGCGATATCCTAAATGTGATAGATTACATAGTATTTTGTATGCTATATGTGTTTTGCTCTATGGAGTATTTAGAAATGTTGTTCATAGTTTAGTTGGTGACACAAGTATATGTTCGACCACATAATATTGCTACACCTGTAGGCAATACTACTATTTTACATGAGAGTGATAGGCCTGTGATACTAGATATTGGTAGACTCAGATTTTTAGCCAATTTATTGATCTTGGACATGCATTCTTATAATGTGATACTTGGGATGGATTGGTTATCTCACTGCTATGCTCAGGTTAATTGTCACGATAAGTTTATTATGTTTGCTATACCGGGACATGATATGTATATAATTGATATGCCATGTTCTAACAGGGGATCGAGCACTCATTTATTGTTGGGAGCTACTTATTTCTCTGAGATTGATTTGCGATCTGGCTATCATTAGCTTCAAGTTAGGGAGCAAGATGTTCCTAAGATAGCATTTCGCACTAGATATGGATCTTATGAATTTCGAGTCATGCCTTTTGGGTTGACTAATATGCCAGCTGTCTTTATAGACTTGATGAACAGAGTCTTCATGAACAGGGTCTTCAGGGCTTGGCTTAGATCAATTCGTCATTGTTTTCATCGATGATATTCTGGTTTATTCTAAGACGGAGGAAGACCATGCTAGACATCTTCGCATAGTGTTGCAGACACTTCATGAGCACCAGTTCTATGGCAAGTTTGAAAAGTGTGACTTTTGGCAACAAGAAGTGAAATGTCTGGGTCATATGGTGTCAGAAAAGGGGATAGTGGTGGATCCAACCAAGGTCTCAGCTGTTTTAGCGTTGGGATAACCTACCTCACCCACTGAGATTCAGAGCTTTCTGGGATTGGCAGGATATTATTGTAGATTTATCCAGGGGTTTTTGAAGATAGCGGAACCACTCACCCATTTGACTAAGAATGGTGTATCGTTTGTATGGGATGAGCATTGTCAGACTGCGTTTGACACACTGAAGAGCAAGTTGACTTCTGCACCTGTTCTAGCTACTCCCTAGAGCGGGATAAAGTATCTTGTCTACATAGATAGTTCTTTGTAGGGTCTGGGATGTGTTGTAATGCAGGAAGAAGGATCGATTTCTTATGGGTCTCATAAGCTTAAGCCTCATGAGCTTAACTATCCGACACACGATTTGGAGTTAGCAGCTGTGGTCTTTGTCTTACGTATTTAGAGGTATTATCTGTTGGGGGAGTCCTTCAGACTATTTAGTGACCACAAGATTTTGCAGTATATCTTCACGCAGAAAGAGCTGAATATGAGATAGCGTAGGTGGTTAGAGTTTGTGAAAGATTACCACCTAGGGAAAGCGAATGTAGTGGTAGATGCACTCAGTCACTTACCCTATGTATAATACCTCGATATTTTAAAGGATTTACTAATTGGGATTAATTAATTTTATTTTATTTTGAAATGATTTGTTTGATTTAATTGGGATTAATTGTTTTTATTTTTAATTTTAAATGATTTATTTTATTTAAATTGATTGCTTAGATTAATTGTCTTGTTTTAATTAAATTATATTTCGTGATTGATATGATGATTGTTGTGTGTGTGTTTGATTATTGATTAAATTATTGATGTGTTGATTTTATTGGTATGGTGTGACTTGATTGTAATTTCTTGTTTTGTTTATATGCTTCATATAATTAGTTATTTTAATTTAAGTGTTTATTTAATTATTTAAATTATTTAAATTAATTGGATTTGGGCTTAAGTGAAGTTGGACCAAAAGATATGGTCTTGGGCTTGTATGAAGCCTTATTTGGTTAATTAATAAAGGCCCATGGTTATTTGATTATTTAAATGATTATTTTTTGTATAATTATAAATATATATATTTAATTATATATAAATTTAATTAATTAATAAGTGTTATAGAAGGATATATATATATAGATATATATTTATAAATATATATAGGATATATGATTTAATTAACCAATGGTTAATTATGGAAGATATATATATATATATATATATATATATATATATATATATAACATATATGTTGATATATATTATATTATTTAAAGGTTATTATTTTATTTGGTAGTCCTAGTAGAAACAGGATTTGGATTCTAATGTGTATAAATATGCACATAATGCTTTAGGGTTAAAAGTTTTACACGTTAGAAAAATAAGAGAAGCAGAGAGAGAGGAAGAAGAAAGGCTGACAAGAAGGAGGCTGGATCTGAGAAGGAGGACATTGGGATTGGAAGATACAATCAAAGCTTGAAGCGTCGGTTTCATTTTGAAACCTTCAGGGGAGTTCTTCGCTAACTTTCCTCTTAAAACTCATAAGGATTTCACCTTGAGTATCAAGGCTTTAAATTAAATTTATTAATTTAAATCATGGTTAGAATGAATTAATCAAAGCATCAAGTTGAATTTATTTGATTAAATCATGTGTTGATCGAATTATTTAAAAGTATAAATTATTATATTTTATTCTTTTAGAATTTTGGATTTTAATTGGTATATATGTGTGTTGCATATATTTTAAAAATTAATTTATAGGTTCGATCTGGACCCAAGAAGGTTAATTAAGGCTTCTGAAATTTTATAGAATTTTGGATTTTAATTGGTATATATGTGTGTGCACACACTAATCTTGACCATTAAATTATTTAAAGGTAAGTGGATTGATCTGGTGCATTGTAGCGCATGGAGGGTTAGTGCGCATGTGCATCTGGGCCATATAAGGGCCCGTTTGGATCGCGATAACGTTATAAGTTATGGTTTGGTATGATATGAAAACAATCATTTTGGTATTGGTATGTTTTTAGTAGAAATCGGATCTATGTTTGGTAACGAGTGATAAGCGCCGAATAATGTATATTCAAGCGCCCTAAATTACATTAACAAAGTCCAGTTATTAATTATTTTATGTAGATTAACTCCATTTCTATGTTTTTATACATTTTCAGGTTCATTGGCCAAAATGGAACAAGAATAAGGCCTTGTGGAATCTTGAGCAACAAAAGGTGCCAATGCTGAATTCTGGCAGCAGTAGAGCCTGGACTTTGCTTGCCATTTTGACCTTCCAAACTCGAGAACTGGACTTCCCTCATAACATGAAAGATTTAGAGCTCTGAATCAGCTTTCCAAATCTTCAAGTGGTTCATCATTCGGAGTTCGGAGCAGAGAGTTATGATCTTCACAACAGAGGTGCGCAGAACTGCCTAGCAGCACTGATGTACTGCCTTTCTCCCCATTTTCGACCAACCAGACTTGAGAATTGGGTCTTCATCAAAACATGAAGTTTTTAAAGCACTGAATCAGCTCTCCAAATCTTCAAACAGATCGTCATTCGGAGTTCGGGGCACAAAGTTATAGCAGTTTTCCCAAAATAGGTCAGCACCGAGCAAGAGGAGCATGTTGCACATTGCACTAAGTTAGAGTGCTCGAGGTCACCAAGCGTGTGCTCGAAAATCAGGCAGAATGCCCTTCGGAAATGGCTCATTTCAGCCCACTTGCACATTGGTTTCCTCAATGCCATCTTCCTTCTTTATGAAGTGGTTGGAGGTGTTCCTTGGAGGAGAGAGGGTATTGTTGGAGCATAAAAGGCTACCCAAAGGCCACATATATGAAAAAGCTTTATCTTGAGCAAGAGAAAGGAGAGAGAAGAGAGCAAGGAGAAGGGTGTTCTTGAGTGCTACAGTAGGAGCTCGAAAATGGAGATGAGGATGATGCTTCTTCCTTCTTCTAGCTCACCAATGGGTAACTAAACCTCATCTAGGGAGGTGATGAAACCCCTCCCTTGTAAGCATGTGTTAGTATAGTTTATTTTTGGGGATTACAATGTATTTTTGATAGTCTTTCCATGGTCAAGAGCCTCATTTTTGTTGTAATGAATGTTGAATGTTTTAAATGATTATTGTGAGTTATTCATCTTGTCTTGGATGGTTGCTTTTCTTAATCATATTGCTTGCACTTCCATGGTGACAATGGAAGTTAGATCATGGAATGGTTTTAATGGCAGGGAGTTGGAGAACCTAGATAGTTCATGGCTTAGGGTTTCCCTTTGATGGGCTATACTTGATTCTTAGCTTTATGTGCACTCACCATTTAAATTAGGGCTTGATAATCCTTGGCTTAGTAAGCATGTTCTAAGCTACATTTTAGTTTAGGTAGTTGATCATGTGAACCTTTGATGGTTTATTCTTGCTTTTCTAATTAAATGAACTTCTTAAGGATATTATAGCAACCTAGTATTGTTATGTATCATGACTATCATATATGTTGTTTTCCCCTTAAATTAATCTTAACCTAGCATGTGTATAGGGATGGAGGTGGATTCATTTCCCTAGCCTTCTTTACTTGTACTTCACTCCCTTGAATTCTTGCAATTTATTGTTTTATGCACTTTTAATTTCCTAGCTTAAGTGACATCCAACAAAACCTCTATAAACCCTTCATCATTCTAAGAATGATTCTAGACATTTAGGTTGTATTAGACTAGCGCAGTCCTTGTGGTTCGACTTACCCGACCAATAGCCCTATTTTACAATGATTCGTGCTATTGCGAAGGTTGATGTATGATTGACCAACCGATCAATTTTTGGCGCCGTTGCCGGGGACTGCAAACGGTTTAGCAACCGAAGTTTCTAGGGTTAAATTTAGTTTGATTGTGAATATTGTGTCTTGTGAATATTCCCTGTGTGTTTTGACCACCTTTGTGTTTTAAGTGTTGTAAGATTCTAGGGACTCGAAGCTCGCAGTGGGAATGCTAGCAAATTGTAAGTCTAGAGGACCCCAGGTAAGTCTCGTGACTTCTAGTTTCGAGTTATGAATATTGTGCATGTGTTAAATTTAGTTTTAGTTTAGTTGTGAAGCCCTTGTTGAGGCTCTTATCCTGTTTAAATTTTGTGTTAAAGCATCGGTCCTTGTCGTGGCCATTTACATTTTCCGTCTTGATAATTGAGGAGAAAGGGAACATCGTATGTGGAGTTGTGGTTGATGAATTGCTTTGTTGAGTATATGCTTTGTTGTTGATGTTCGGTCGTAGGTCACTTTCCTTACCCACAATCGATTCGCCCATTGATATCAATTCTCTTGAAAGAACTCTTAGATGGAACCTTAGGGAACCCACTCTTACAAGGGACCTTGAAACTGAATTCAATATAATGGGGGATAACGTAGGAAATCCGGGGAATGAAAGGGCTGAAATTCCTAATATCGAGCCAATGACTCTTAGAGATCATTTCATCCCTACCACCTATGCTTCTCCATCTTGCATAGTGATGCCAAACATCGATGCAGCTCAATATGAGATCAAGTCTAGTACCATTCAAATGCTTCCATCATTTCATGGCTTTGATAATGAAGATCCATACAAGCATCTTGATGAGTTCCTTGAAATCTGTTCAACCATCCGGTTGAGAGGTTTTCCGGACAATGCACTTCATCTCCATCTCTTCCCATTCTCCCTAAAGGATAGGGCAAAATATTGGTTGAACTCCCTCGCTCCCAACTCTATTACTTCTTGGGCTCAATTGCAACAAGAATTTCTTAAGAAGTATTATCCGGTGAGTAAAACCAACCAAATGAGGCGTTCCATTCTAAGCTTTTCTCAAGTTGATGGAGAACAACTCCACGAGACTTGGGAAAGGTTACAAGATCTTCTTCGGAAGTGTCCTCATCATTTGATCCCAAAATGGCAATTAGTGCAAGCTTTCTATGCCGGCTTGACCGAAACCCATAGATTCATGGTTGATTCTTCTTGTGGTGGGATGTTCATGTCCAAGAATGCGGATGAGGCTTGGACCTTACTTGAGAATTTGAGTGAAAATTCACTTCAACACAATTCTCGTAGGGCTCCGACCGCAACCACTCCAAACAACACCAACCCTTGTCAACCAAAGTCAATAAGGGAGGAATCATCTCAAGTGGATGCCATCGCTCATAAATTCTATCAATTGATGGCACCACATCTTCCTCCTTCATTGTCTCAAAATTCGGCAAGTTCAGTTTGTGCTTCATGTACTAGTCCATTCCATCTCTCGGAAGATTGCCCCACATCGGAGCAATTTCCTAGTCCCAACCAAGAGCAAGCTAATGCCATGTTCTCGCGGCCCGGGAACAATCCATATTCCAACACCTACAATCCGGGTTGGCGTGATCATCCGAATTTCTCATGGCGGCAACAAGCCCCACAGAATTCCCAATTCCAAAACCAAGGGCGGCAAAATCAGCCCTCTTCTCAATATCAAGGTAGACCTTTCCAAGCCTCTTCAAGCTACCGTCCTCCTTACAATCCAAATGTCTCCAATCAACCTCCTGTGTGTCCAACTGACGAGATAGTAGCTGCAAACAAGCAAATGATGGAATCATTAAATAAGCAAATAATGGATGCCAACAAGCAACTCTTGACATCCTTGCAGCCTACTCTCCAAATGGTTCACTCTCATACTCAATCCATATCTAATCTCGAAAATCAAGTGGGCCAAATAGCTAACTCGGTGAATCAATTGCTTCAAAAGGACAAGGGCAAGCTTCCCTCTCAACCTTTTGAAAATCCTAGAGGAATACATGTGATTGACGAAACCCCTCCTCCGAGTGGGCCGACTCATGAACAAGTTCAAGCTATCACCACCCTTCGGAGTGGTAGAGTGGTGGACAACAAGGTCGATGGAGACAAAAGTGAAGAAGTTTCGCCGTTGAAAAATCCAAATTCAAGCTCTTCTAATCCAAATTCTTGTCCCAATACCATTCACGGATATCCCACACATGTCTCCCCAAATGTGGAAACTACTTATGAGCCAAAAGCTCCGTTTCCTCAACGTCTTCAAGAGTCGACACACTTTGGGAATAAGAATTGTAAAATTCAAGACATGTGGGAAGTCTTCAAGCAAGTGAAGATTAACTTGCCCCTGTTGGATGCTATCAAGCAAATCCCTCCCTATGCAAAATTTCTCAAAGATTTGTGCACTCAAAAGCGCACTTCTAAAAATCATTTGCCAAAAAAAGTGAGGTTGACTGAAAATGTTAGTGCTATTATTCAGCACAGCACTCCCCCGAAGTATAAGGATCCGGGTGCCCCCACAATCTCGTGCGTCATTGGTGACAGCAAAATCGAGAGGGCCCTCCTTGACTTAGGAGCTAGTGTGAATTTAATTCCATACTCGGTCTACCTACAACTTGGTTTGGGCGATCTTAAGCCGACTTCCGTGGTTTTGCAACTTGCCGATAGATCGGTCAAGCATCCACGAGGTATTCTTGAGGACGTCATCATCAAAGTGGACAAATTCTACTTCCCGGTAGATTTTGTGGTACTTGATACGGAACCAGTCCATGACCCAAAAAAGCACATTCCCGTGATCCTTGGTAGACCATTTTTAGCTACGGCTAATGCATCAATTAATTGCCGAACCGGGGTGATGGACATTGCTTTTGGAAACATGCAAGTCAAACTCCACATCTTTCATGCAACTCAACATCCCTCCAATGAGGATGATTGTTTTCTTGTGGATGTCATTGATGAAGTGGTCGAAGAATCTCTCCCCTTCATCCTAAGCAAAGATCCCCTTGAAACTTGCATGTCTCATTTTGACTTCTCAAACTTTGATGTTGATCAAGCCATTCAAGAAGTCAATTCCTTGCTTGATATTAATGCTATCATGGATGTACCTCCTTGGAAAATTCCAAAAGAACCACTTCCCCAACTTTCCACCACTCCTCCGGTCCCATCATTGTTATCTCCGCCACAACTTGAGCTTAAGCCGCTCCCGGCCCATCTCAAGTATGTGTTCCTTGGTCCAAAGCAAACCCTTCCGGTCATTATTGCCTCGGACCTTCAAAAAGACCAAGAGACCAACCTTTTAGCGGTGCTCCAAGAGCATAAAGAAGCTATTGGTTGGACAGTGGCAGATTTGAAAGGAATTGACCCCTCTATTTGTATGCACCGCATTCATATGGAGGATGACGCAAAGCCTACTAGAGAGGTCCAGCGCCGGTTAAATCCAAACATGAAGGAAGTGGTCATGAAAGAGGTGATCAAATTGCTAGATGCGGGAATCATCTATCCTATCTCTGATAGCAAGTGGGTGAGCCCCACACAAGTTGTCCCCAAGAAATCCGGGCTCACCGTTGTTGAAAATTCAGCGGGTGAGCTCGTGCCACAACGAACCACCACCGGGTGGCGTGTGTGCATTGACTATCGTAAACTCAACTCATCAACTAGGAAGGATCATTTCCCACTCCCATTTATTGATCAAATCCTAGAAAGGTTAGCCGGCCAAAGCTTCTATTGTTTTCTTGATGGTTATTCCGGCTATAACCAAGTGGCCATCGCCCCCCAAGATCAAGAGAAAACAACATTCACATGTCCCTTCGGTACTTTTGCCTATCGACGCATGCCTTTTGGTCTATGCAATGCACCGGCAACGTTCCAAAGGTGCATGATGTCCATATTCTCCGATATGGTTGAAAGGTTCTTGGAAGTTTTTATGGATGACTTTTCCGTATTTGGCTCCTCCTTTGACTCGTGTCTCAAAAATTTATCTCTTGTGCTCCAAAGATGCAAAGAGACGAATCTCATTCTAAGTTGGGAGAAAAGCCACTTTATGGTCCAAGAAGGCATTATTTTAGGACATGTCATTTCTAAGCGGGGAATCGAGGTAGACAAGGCAAAAGTTGAGTTAATCTCTAATCTTCCTCCTCCGAATTCCGTCCGTCAGATCCGTTCTTTTCTTGGCCATGCCGGATTCTATCGTCGCTTCATCAAAGATTTTAGCAAAATCTCACGGCCCTTGTGTAATCTCTTAGCCAAGGATGTTCCGTTCAATTTTGATGACGCTTGCATGGAAGCTTTCATCAAACTTCGCATTCTCCTCTCCTCTGCCCCGATCATGAAACCCCCTAATTGGTCTCTTCCCTTTGAGATCATGTGTGATGCATCCGACTATGCATTAGGGGCGGTTTTGGGCCAACGTGTGGATAAACTTCCGCATGTCATTTATTATGCTAGCAAAACTCTCTGCAATGCCCAATTGAACTACACCACCACTGAAAAAGAATTGCTAGCTGTGGTGTACGCCTTGGATAAATTTCGCTCCTATCTTCTTGGCTCCAAGGTCATCGTCTTTTCAGATCATGCCGCTCTTAGGCATTTGTTAGCGAAAAAAGAGACAAAACCCCGCTTAATTCGATGGATCCTCTTACTTCAAGAGTTTGACATTGACATCCGGGACAAAAAAGGGACCGACAATGTTGTCGCCGATCATCTCTCTCGCTTACTTATTGAGAAATCTTCAGAATTTGCAGCCATCCGTGATTCCTTTCCGGATGAGCAACTTCTTCAAGTTTCACATTCTACTCTTCCGTGGTTTGCGGATATTGTCAATTATCTTGCGGTTGGCAAAATTCCAGCTCATTGGTCCAAACAAGAGAGGGACCGGTTTTTCTCCCAAGTCAAGCATTTCTTTTGGGAAGATCCGGAATTATTCAAGTATTGCCCGGACCAAATCATCCGGCGATGTATTCCTAAAACCGAGGCCACAAGCATTTTAAATTTTTGCCATACTCTTGCTTGTGGAGGCCATTTCAGTGCCAAAAAGACCGCTAACAAAATCCTTCAAAGCGGATTCTTTTGGCCTACCTTGTTCCGGGATGCATACAATTTTTGCAAATCGTGTGAACGATGTCAAAAACTTGGATCCATGTCCCGAAGAGACATGATACCCCTCACCAACATTTTAATTGTTGAAATTTTTGATGTGTGGGGGATTGACTTCATGGGACCATTTCCATCTTCTTATGGCTATGAGTACATCCTTGTAGCGGTGGATTATGTGTCTAAATGAGTTGAAGCCGCGGCTACCAAAACCGATGATCATAAAGTCGTGATCCATTTCATTCAATCTCACATCTTTAGTCGTTTTGGTACACCCCGAGCAATCATTAGTGATGGCGGATCTCATTTCCGAAATCGTTATCTCAAATCCGTCCTTGCTAAGTATTCAGTCATTCATAAGGTTGCTACACCTTACCACCCTCAAACGAGTGGTCAAGTAGAGATTTCTAACCGGGAGATTAAGCACATTTTAGAAAAAACGGTTAGACCGGACCGCAAAGATTGGTCATTACGGCTAAACGATGCACTTTGGGCTTACCGGACAGCTTATAAGACACCCATTGGCATGTCACCATATCGACTTGTCTTTGGCAAAGCATGTCATCTCCCGGTAGAATTAGAGCACCGTGCTTATTGGGCCGTAAAAAGGTTCAATTTTGATCTCAAACAAGCCGGCTCTAATCGTGCGTTGCAATTAAATGAACTTGAGGAATTGCGTAATGACGCGTATGAAAATGCAAAAATTTACAAGGCAAAGACTAAAGCTTTTCATGACAAACACATTGTCAAAAAGTCTTTTGCCCCGGGACAAAAGGTCTGGCTTTTCAATTCCCGCTTGAAGCTCTTTCCCGGTAAACTCCGGTCAAGATGGGATGGTCCATACATTGTCACTACCGTCTTTCCTCATGGAGCAATCAAACTTCATGATCCTGCAAGTGGATCACTCTTCAAGGTAAATGGCCAAAGGCTTAAGCCTTGCATTGACAGCACAATTCTAACCCGAAAAGTTGAGGAAGTCCCCTTGACGGACCCCATTTATGAGGAGTAGTGCCTGCTCTAGCTTGGTCTAGCTATCGACATTAAATTTAGCAAAGCAAGGGAATAAATTCTTTCGATGTTCCAAGCTTCCTTCTCTTTGAAATTGCTCGTGCCTTACAAAAAAAAAATTTCTGGGAAACGGTTTAGATAAGCCAAAAATTTGATTTTTTCTGAAATGGTCTTCAGTTGTGTTTCGCAATTTTAGACTGGCCTCTTAGACCTTCTCAGCTCTAATTTTCATTCCCGGAAATTTCCATCGCTTTCGAGCAATTTCATAGGATCTTTGGCATGCAACTCATGTGCAATCTCTCATTTTTAATGCATTTCTGAAATGTTCTTAATCTCATCCATGCATTGACGAGATGTTCCAAAGCTTGAAAATTTTCTCAAAATCATCCATGCATTATGTGAGGTTGCAAAAGTTGGGAACTCTTCTTGAAATCATCCATACACTCAAAAAAAAAAAAAAAAAAAAAAAAAAAAAAAAATTTGCCCAATTTGAAATTTTTTCTACATGTCCATGCATTGCATTGAAGCTTCGAGCTTGGCAATTTTTCCATCCCTCAAGTCCATCCCTGCAATGCATTAGAATAGCATGCCAAGTTTCACTTTCTATCCATGCATGCCAGGTGCAACTATTCTATCCATGCATTGATTTGGAAGAATCTTTCAAGGTTGTATCAATTCTTCAGCTCTTAGTTGATCATATTCACATTCACAATGCCTAAGAATGAAGCACATAATGTTACAAGGCATGCAACAATTCATCTCTCCACCTCCATGCTCACTGCCGAGTGCTCCAAGGCTTTAACCAAGTTTCCATGAGCCTACTGCCTTCATTTAGAGCACTCTAGCTTCCAATTTGAGTGCTCCAAATTCTTCAACCCATACTGCCGAACCTACTGCCCTCATTTCGAGCACTCTCAATTCTGGTATGAGTGCTCGAATTCCATGCACCAACCAACCATCACTCTCTGCCACAATGTCGAGCACTCGAAAAGGCCATTTCGAGTGCTCCAACTCCCATCCTCGCAGCACACCATCACCCTCTCGGCCATGCAACACATCACCACCCTGCATGCATGCATGCACGCCCATGCATGCATGCCAAACCCACCTCCCTCACCACCCAGCTCACCACCCTTGCATGCATGCACGCCCATGCATGCATGCCAAACCATTCCCAAACCCCCCTCCCTCACCACCCAGCTCATCACCCAACTCTCTGCCCCAATTTCGAGCACTCGAAGTGGGCCTTCGAGTGCTCGAACCAAGCTCTCTTTTCTCTCTTTTAAAACCCCTTCTCTCCCTCGCAGCTCCCTCCCTCTCAACCCACAAAACCACCACCAACCCCTCTTCCACCTCACAACCACCTCCCTTTCTCTCGGCCCCTCCCCTTCCCCAAACCAACCAACCAACCTCCCCACTCCACCTCCCTCTCAACCCACCAAACTCCCACACCCTCACCACCTCACACCACCTTTCTCTCGGCCCCCCACCCACCAACCCCTCCATGCACCAAATGCATGCAACCACTTCCTCTCTCTACCCCAAACACCCAATCCATCTCTCATCCACCACCAGCCCACCCACATTGCCACCACCCCTACATCTCTGCAGTTCCCATTTCCTATTCTGTCCCAAGGTATGTGAGCTTCTTTTTTTTTTTTTTTTTTCTTTTCCTCCTTTCCTTGTCTTTATTTCATCATAAGGAGGATGGGATTGCATGTCGGTGATTTTGTTGATGCTTAGGTTGCTTGTTGTTGATGTTGCTCTATGCTAGAGCTTGTTATCTTGCCAAATTTTTTGGGTTTGCTCCTCCATCCCACTCACTTTCATCTTCTCCTTTTTGTGGTGCACGCCAGGTGTTCGCTGAAATTCCTCAACCAAGTCCACCTCTCTAAATGTCTCGTGCCGGTCCTTCTCGCCCTCCTCGACCCTCAAACAGTTCTTTTTGTCATCATGTAAACTCTTTTTGCAATGCAAGTTCTTTATGTTCTGTTAACTTTCGATACATTCGTTTTCTGTCTTTATGCTTGTGCTATTAATGCTGTTTGTGGTTGTTTCTTTTGGTTCTTCATGTTGCTTTCCAGGTTGCGCAGTCCAGTTCAAGTTTGGAGGTTTTTGTCTCAAAATGCCGTTCCCTCCCCCTGGGTATTGTTGTTCCTTTTATACTCGTTGTCATTTTTGTCTCTAACTTGCATCCATGTCCCACATTGAGGACACTGTGTCGTTTAAGTTTGGGGGTGCATCAAGCATTCTTGGCATATTTTTGGTTCCATAATTTTTGCTAAGCAATGATAGTATAACTTGACACTTATCGGAGATGAAACATATGTTTAATACCTTGTGTATAGAAGCAATTGAAATTTTTGAAAATAAAGAAAAATTTGAGTTGAAATGATCATGTAAATACAATGTAGTCTGTATAAATGCCTCAATTAGATTCTTGCTGGATTTACACTCTTATAAGCTTCACAATGCACAGATGCACATTGGAAACTTAACTGTGAGGCATGCAACTTGATTGACCTTGACCTTGGCCTAGTTAATCTGATTTGATGAACCTGATAGATGGATGCCTTTGGCATGTATCTATTCAAAAAAAAAAAAAAAAAAAAAAAAAAAAAAAAAAAAAAAAAAAAAAAATTGAGAAAGAAAGAAAAAAAAAATGACCAGTTGACGTTCGTAGCCTTTCCAACTCGAGCTATTAAGCCCTAGGAGTGTCTCTACACTTAGCACCCTAAAGCCATCTGGTTTGGGAGTTGTTGGCCTAACGCTTGCTACAAGGGTTGGTTAGAAAGCTTAAGGGACTTAAACATTGCACGGTCATTCAAAAAAAATTAAACTAGTAATAAACATGGTTCGTTGGAGTTCGTAGCCTTTCCAACTTGAGCTATTAAGCCCTATGGAGTGTCTCTACACTTAGCACCCTAAAGCCATCTGGTTTGGGAGTTGTTGGCCTAACGCTTGCTACATAAGTTGGTTAGAAAGCTTAATGGATTTCAGCATTGCACAACCATTCTATGTTTCGCTTATGTGTTGAAATAAATTGTTAACAAGCAACAAAAGTTGTCTTGAAAATAAAATCATGCCTTAGGGACTTCATGTAAAAGGGAATTCATTGATTTGAAAACTTGTGCCTTGGAATTGGACAAAAAAGTAAAAGCCGCATGTGATAATCCAATTCACTTTCACTGGAGTTTGAGTTATTTCCATTTAAGAGATGACAATTGAATTATTTATATGGACTATGATGTTGATGCATGCATGTTGAAATGGTTTTTCCCATTTTTTGTATCAATGCTTCATATATGCAAGGTAGTTTTCCCAATGACCCCATCTCCAGTTTTTGTCTGTTTCAAGTTGTATTTGAGCTATGTTTCTATCTCATTTTACCATGGAGGATATTTTTGTAGTAGCATGCCCATGGTTGTCTTTTCTTTATGTTTTTCATTGTAGTTTTGCTAAGGGACTAGCAAAATGTAAGTTTGGGGGTGTGATAAGCGCCGAATAATGTATATTCAAGCGCCCTAAATTACATTAACAAAGTCCAGTTATTAATTATTTTATGTAGATTAACTCCATTTCTATGTTTTTATGCATTTTCAGGTTCATTGGCCAAAATGGAACAAGAATAAGGCCTTGTGGAATCTTGAGCAACAAAAGGTGCCAATGCTGAATTCTGGCAGCAGTAGAGCCTGGACTTTGCTTGCCATTTTGACCTTCCAAACTCGAGAACTGGACTTCCCTCATAACATGAAAGATTTAGAGCTCTGAATCAGCTTTCCAAATCTTTAAGTGGTTCATCATTCGGAGTTCGTAGCAGAGAGTTATGATCTTCACAACAGAGGTGCGCAGAACTGCCTAGCAGCACTGATGTACTGCCTTTCTCCCCATTTTCGACCAACCAGACTTGAGAATTGGGTCTTCATCAAAACATGAAGTTTTTAAAGCACTGAATCAGCTCTCCAAATCTTCAAACAGATCGTCATTCGGAGTTCGGGGCACAAAGTTATAGCAGTTTTCCCAAAATAGGTCAGCACTGAGCAAGAGGAGCATGTTGCACATTGCACTAAGTTAGAGTGCTCGAGGTCACCAAGCGTGTGCTCGAAAATCAGGCAGAATGCCCTTCGGAAATGGCTCATTTCAGCCCACTTGCACATTGGTTTCCTCAATGCCATCTTCCTTCTTTATGAAGTGGTTGGAGGTGTTCCTTGGAGGAGAGAGGGTATTGTTGGAGCATAAAAGGCTACCCAAAGGCCACATATATGAAAAAGCTTTATCTTGAGCAAGAGAAAGGAGAGAGAAGAGAGCAAGGAGAAGGGTGTTCTTGAGTGCTACAGTAGGAGCTCGAAAATGGAGATGAGGATGATGCTTCTTCCTTCTTCTAGCTCACCAATGGGTAACTAAACCTCATCTAGGGAGGTGATGAAACCCCTCCCTTGTAAGCATGTGTTAGTATAGTTTATTTTTGGGGATTACAATGTATTTTTGATAGTCTTTCCATGGTCAAGAGCCTCATTTTTGTTGTAATGAATGTTGAATGTTTTAAATGATTATTGTGAGTTATTCATCTTGTCTTGGATGGTTGCTTTTCTTAATCATATTGCTTGCACTTCCATGGTGACAATGGAAGTTAGATCATGGAATGGTTTTAATGGCAGGGAGTTGGAGAACCTAGATAGTTCATGGCTTAGGGTTTCCCTTTGATGGGCTATACTTGATTCTTAGCTTTATGTGCACTCACCATTTAAATTAGGGCTTGATAATCCTTGGCTTAGTAAGCATGTTCTAAGCTACATTTTAGTTTAGGTAGTTGATCATGTGAACCTTTGATGGTTTATTCTTGCTTTTCTAATTAAATGAACTTCTTAAGGATATTATAGCAACCTAGTATTGTTATGTATCATGACTATCATATATGTTGTTTTCCCCTTAAATTAATCTTAACCTAGCATGTGTATAGGGATGGAGGTGGATTCATTTCCCTAGCCTTCTTTACTTGTACTTCACTCCCTTGAATTCTTGCAATTTATTGTTTTATGCACTTTTAATTTCCTAGCTTAAGTGACATCCAACAAAACCTCTATAAACCCTTCATCATTCTAAGAATGATTCTAGACATTTAGGTTGTATTAGACTAGCGCAGTCCTTGTGGTTCGACTTACCCGACCAATAGCCCTATTTTACAATGATTCGTGCTATTGCGAAGGTTGATGTATGATTGACCAACCGATCAACGAGTGTTTTGTTTTTGTTAATTGTATAACAAAAACATGAAAACGCGTTTGGTAATGTTATGCGTTTTAAGAAATTCGAAAACAAAACATGTTTGGGAAGTTTATTTTATTTTTAAAAATTCTGAATCAATAACAGAATACATGTTTGGTAAAGACTGTTTTGTTTTTGTTTTGAATAATTATATATATGAATACAATTATAAGTTTACATGTAATAGTCCATTTTTCTTTATGATTTGAGATAATTTGTTAAAAAAAAAATATTCTGCATTAAAGAGTTGGGAAAAAAAAAATTATGAATAAATTTAAATGTATAAATAAGATCATGTGGGATGTTTATGAGGTATAAACATGATTTGTGGCAACCAAAGTACAAATCTAACTTTGTAATAATCTTTCAATGAGAGCAGATCTTTACACTCCATTTATCTTTTTCTTTTGGTTTGCACTACATTTAACTTTGTTTTATTTCATATATATATATATATATATATATATATATATATATATATTCATTATGAATGATAGAGAGAGATCCTTGTAGTTGAAACTAGCAAGAAGTAAAGCCAAAACGTTGATCTTCTTGAATTGGTCAGAGTTGAGGCTTGGTGGACATTGAAGCTTGTGAATGGGTTTACTTCACTGAGATTAGTTTGAAATTTTGTGCTGGAGATCCTTCAAAGTGTTAATATTTTTATTATTAACTCATGAGACCATTTCCCCTTTTCCTGAGTATTTATTTTGATAACCAACTTCTGAATATTTCATACAATCTCTAACCATAACTAGAAATGATAAATAGAAATATTATTAGAAGCAAGCAATCAAGGAAGCTAGACATCACAAGCTAGACATGAAACGACAAGTTTTTTTGGTACATCACAAAATTAATAAATTGTTGTTGCACCATTCACATATATACTTGCACATATAGGGAGCTAGACATTCCTTAAAATTAGTATGTGTGTACATACACATTTCATTATACTTACATAAAATGTACACACCTACATCTAGAAATCACTAAAATTCATTCCATAAAATGTACACTTCTTTATACTTGCATAGGCCTCCATATGATTAAGTTAGAGATCACTAGCTTCCTAGAGTTGTAGCAACTAGAGAATACTTCCTATAAATCCCACTGGTGCCACTGCCCACAACTTACTGCCATGTCCTTCAACTCCACCACGAAACAGTTGCATTCTACTAAGCTTGAAAAATTGTTATATGTTTCACAGTTATATATTTCACATTTTTTCTACTGTTATATATTTCAAAAATCCATTTCAAGTTTAAAAAATCAACCACATGCCTTTTTGGAATCAAAGTTTAAATTTCATTTTTTTTTTTTTTTTCGAAAATCCGGCATGGTTTCCCCTTAAAAATGGACATTTTTAAAATTGAACTTAACACAATAAACACAAGAGACACCGCCCACAAAATTATTTCAACAAGGGACACCGCCCACAAAATTAATTCAACAAGGGACATTGCCCACAAAATTCATTCAATCAATTCAATAAGGAACACCGCCCACAAAATTAATTCACAAATCCAAGTAAAATTGCCTGTTTTCCTCCTAAACTATTCCAACAACCACACGATATATCTAACCTTTTTTCAGGCTAAGTTGCAAATTTGGAGTGAAAATGACCTCATGCAAAACCAAACACATGAACAACATTAGAGATAAACAAAATAACATATAATAGGAATAAAGTAATTTAACAGTACTAAGCAAGATATATCTAACCTTTTTTCAGGCTATGTTGCAAATTTGGAGTGTAAATGACCTCATGCAAAACCAAACACGTGAACAACATTAGAGAAAAACAAAATAACACATAGTAGGAATGAAGTAATTTGAAGTAGAAGCAAGATATATCTAACCTTTTTTCAGGCTAAGTTGCAAATTTGGAGTGTAAATGACCTCATGCAAAACCAAACACATGAACAACATTAGACAAAAACAAAATAACACATGGTAAGAATGAAGTAATTAGAAGTAGAAGCAAGATATATCTAACCTTTTTTCAGGCTAATTTGCAAATATGGAGTGTAAATGACCTCATGTAAAACCAAACACATCAACAACACTAGACAAAATCAAAATAACACATAGTAAGAATGAAGTAATTAGAAGTAGTAAGCAAGATATATCTAACCTTTTTTCAAGCTAAGTTGCAAATTTAGAGTGTACATGACCTCATGCAAAACCAAACACATCAATAACATTAGACAAAAACAAAATAACACGTGCTAGGAATGAGGTAATTAGAAGTAGTAAGCAAGATATATCTAACCTTTTTTCAGGCGAAGTTGCAAATTTGGAGTGTACATGACCTCATGCAAAAGCAAACACATCAACAACATTAGACAAAAACAAAATAACACATAGTAGGAATGAAGTAATTAGAAATAGTAAGCAAGATATATCTAACCTTTGTTTCGGCTAAGTTGCAAATTTAGAGTGTACATGACCTCATGCAACACCAAACACATTTATACCATTTAATACGTAGTTCAAAATATAGCATTTATAGTTCTCAGCAGCAAGGTCATCCAAATACAGAAAATTAAGTATATATTACATACCAAATGAAACACGGGAAATTAACTAAATACCTATTGCATGTTATATATTATAAAAGATGGAAGTTTATCTAACTTCATCTTTCAATAACAACGATAATAAGCAAGAAGAAGACAATCACAATAAACATGATTATGATAGTAAGACATCCACAACTTAGGAAGAGCATGTACTTCTGTTTACGTTGTTCATTTTGAATCATTGTAATGACTCTATCCAAGTCAGATTGAACATGTTCTTCAACTTGTTCACCTTGGTGCAACTCATCCACCCACATAAATGCATTCATATGTGACTACAAGAAATATAAATTATACAATTAGGAAACAATAACAGAAATAACATCTAAAAGATTAAAGCCATACCTCCCGAGCTGGACACCTATAGAATTGTCGACCATCATTTTTTGGAGTTCGAGCCCTATACAGATGCATAGGACCTCTACCACATGCACATTGTGGTCGCTCACCTTCAAGCCTATACATAAGTCCCCCTACAAGTACTAAAGCATTTAATATTTAATGTCCTATATAATTAGTTATTACAGTTATCCATATTATATGCATGTGAGTTTAATTTGCATAATATAGTTAGTTATTACAGTTATCCATATTAAAATCCTACACACTATTACACACTATTATAATTAGTGATTACAGTCCTCCCAAATTAGGTTGGCAATACGATCACGATAAATATCCATCTGTCGCATCTGTGTATTAGTAGCACTGACGACCTCAACAATGTCATCCACATCAAGTTCATTTTGTGAAGATTCAAGGGTTTCACAATCAAAAATTTCATCAGATTCACCTTGGGATCTTATGAAATTATGCAATGTACAACAGGCAATGACAATAAGAACTTGAGTGTCAAAGTGATAAGGGGGCATTTGCTTAAATATAGCGAATCTCATCTTTACCAACCCAAAACACCGCTCTATGATATTCCTCAATGACGAGTGCCTAAAATTGTACACCTCTTCTCTACCACGTGGTCCTCTAGTATGTCTACCATATTCCTGCATGTGGTAACTTTGACCCCGAAAAGGGGCCAAAAACCCCGATTGACTGGTGTACCCAGAGTCCACTAACTAAAACTTACCTGTCATGTTCAGGATTAAAATTAATGTATTTTTAATGTTAAATGCATAAATATGGAAAGGTAATTTTCTTAGCTTCGGGTAGTGATGGAAAATTGAAATCCTCATTCTGAATGCACTCATTTAAAATCTTCGAATCATTAGCAGACCCTTCCCACCCTGCTAGAATGTATGTGAATTTCATATCAAAAGAACACACGGCCATGACATTTTGGGCCGTATCACCCTTTCTACCACGAAAGGGTATTTGTTGTCCAACTGGCACTACAGCATGGATATGAGTACCATCTATGGCTCCTACACAATTCTTAAAGTATAGGTAAAACTTTGGATTGTTCTTTATCTGTTTAAGAATTTCATTCAAATCCAAAGGAACAATAATCTTAGTCCTTAACTCACAAATTAACTTTAACACAGAATGAAAGTGATATGAAATTGTGGATGTAGAGTGTTGGAATCTTTCAGCAACGACACGATTCCTTTCATTGTGAGACATGGTAAGTAGGAAAATTGCAACTTGTTCTTCTACTGTTACAAATGTTGAATCTTTCAATCCTAACAATTTTAACTCACGACACAAAGCCCTAATGGTATTGGGGTACATCCAAAAATTTTCATAACACCTATCTTCATGTCCATTTAAAATCTCGAATACGTAATATTCCCCTTATAACATGGAATCCCTACAACGTTGCTTATCAAAAATTTTAAGATAGTACTCATATACGGCTGCGATCAATACAAGAATTTCCTCCTCATCATCATCATCATACATGGTTAATATTGTCCTTATATCCATATCTACTATCCTATTTAAGAATAAACAGAAGTAGTTATTGTAATAAAAATTAAACAACTTCATGATATAAGCAAAATGAAAAAATATATAGCAAATAATACAGTTATTCATCAACAATACAAAAATGATAAAACACATACCAAATCATACAATTATCCAGCAAAAATGTAAAAGTGATAGATATAGCACATAAATAGTCATCCAACATTAATTTAAAAGTAGTAGATAGAGGAATTAAATATAGTCTTCCAACAGTAATGTAAAAGCAGTAGATAAGGAAAATTAAATACAGTCATCCAACAGAAATGTAAAAGCAATTATAAAACAGTCATCCAAAAGCACATAAAAGTAAGATAGCGAACATATCACAGAGGCTGATTCATCACCCACCCAACTTTCCTCTCACCAGGAATGCGAAAAAATATGTCCCTCCATACCTTGTTTTCACCAAACATCCTTATGATCTTAGCATAATGGGTATCATCAATCCCCACTAATGTGTTAACGATCCCAAGGCACTCCTCAAGCTGCGGATCCATTTCTTTTTCTTTTTCTTTTTTACTGGGAGATGTCACTTCAGGCATTTCATTAACACAAGATGGTTGACAACTAGAAGATGATTCAGCTATGGTTTTAGCAATTTTATCAGCTTTCGCATTCCCAATATTAGTCAAATATGCCATCACTTGAGACATTGTGGAGGCAAAACTTTCTTTCCTAGGTTTCTTAGCTACAGGAATGGGAGTAGGACTGAGGTCAATAGGTCCTTCTACAGTAGGTCGTTCTACATCAGTCATGCCCTGAATTGCAGCTTCATGTGTTGCCACTTGAGACATTATTTGCACTTGGTGAGGTTTGGGTGATTTTGTAGAAGGATGAACATGCTGACCAATAGCATGTGTATCCCCAAAAATCCTTACCATCTGCTCATAATTCTTACACCCCTGTTTTTTTTTTTTTTTTGCCGTACTTGAGAACCTACATTTTATTAGCTTACAATTATTATTCATCAAACCCTTTTAATACTAAATCACTAATTACTAACTATATGTATGGTAAATAGACACGTATTGAAATACTAACCTTGCACAATCGACCCCATCTTTCAGCTTCCAACTCAATCATCCCAGTTTCACTGTTGTACCCTACACTAGTCTCGGATAATATTTGTTTGCAATCTTTGTACAGTGCTCTGATTGTATTGAATTTTTGTTTACACTGGTCCTTCGTGTACTTCTTTCCAATTTCCACCAACATTGCATCCACAATATGTGTCCACCCAATTGGATTAAAAGTTGTGCTTGTACGATTTCCTTTTCTAACCTCTTCCTCCATCAAGAGCATGAATTTCTCTTGATAGGCATCACACCAAGTAGCGGCATCGGCCTGTTCAATAACTACAACGTCCTCACCATTCTCACCATCAAGAAAATGAATGTCTTTTGATGGGCATTGGTCAACATTGTCATAGTTCATGTCCATCTGATTATTATTAAGTAAATTGAACACTTTAGTAAATTGTTTATATAATTTAAATTTAAAGTCAAAATTCAATTAAATTTATAATTTCAAGAAATTAATATAGTAATCACGATCCAAACCTACATTGTTCTTAAATTTTCTACCTTCAAATTACACACAAGAGAATTATTATATTACATCTGTCAAAATATATGATTTCAAATCTTAAAACTCTCTCAAAGTATCAGATTCAAGGTTATGCAACTTATATCAAAGGCTCACAAAATTACAAATTTCCCTATCAACCTTAATTTTGGAAATCCAACCATTTCAAGATATGCACAAGCAGTACATTTGTAATTAATTACAAATATTTAAAGGGTATATTTGTAATCTCATTTGAATTTTCAAGGATACTTTGGTCCAACTTGTCTTCTATGTATGTATGGTATTCTTTGCATAAAGTACATTGAATTAGTTATTATTTCTCTATACCTTAATAATGATTTCTCTAATAGTGCTGGTATATCGCAAACTAAGGGCATTTCTAGGAGTACATGTACAATTCTAGTAATGAGAATGTGTAATGCTTCTACCACTAACCTTGAGAGAGATTGTGGTGACAACCTTGCACTTCTTTATACTAAGTCAAACGGAAATAATTTCTGGGGTGTATGTGTAATGTCCTGAATTTTTCATACATTGTTTTACATGCCACGAAATGAAAAAATATACTATATATTCCTAGTCAATCAAAATTTTTCATTTTTTACTAACGTATATAAATACATCATAGTAATCATTATCTAACATATATAAATACATCATAGTAATCACAGTAATTTATCTAACATATATAAATACATCATAGTAATCATTATTGACCAGAACATTGCAATATTTCTTTAACAAATTCCACTTTCATCATATCAGTTATTTATAATCTCATATTTTATTGTGCCTGGTAATTGCATAATTGTGCCTTTGAAACCCCACAAACTTGCAAAAAAATCGTGTTTAACTTTCATCATAATTGTGCCTGGATTCACAAACCGTGTTTTTTAATGTCGTTTTGAAAGGGAAATAATTCAAAAACAGAACGTAGTTGCATCAATTTCCAATTTCCAGTTTATGATTTCTGATTTTCATATCTCTAAAAATTAATTAAATTAAATTTTTAATTTTAAAAAATTTATTTCTGATTTTAAAAAGGAAAAAAAATTGACCACATACATTTGAGAATCCATAATACCAATAACATAATTAAAAAAAAAAAAAAAATCCCACATACATCTGAGAATCGAGAATACATACAAAGACCTGCTTGCACATAAATAAATAGAGTCGTAATTAGGGTTCGGGTTTGGTAGTGGTGTTACCTGTAGCGACTTCAAAAACCTGCTTGCACAAAAGCCTCGAACTACCTCGCACAACGACTGAACTGAAGGGTTGAAGTTGAAACCCCAAAATCACGTCAGACAGATGCGTGAAAACAGAGACAAATGAGACAACAGAGAAGTACGAGAGCCACAATTGAGGAACAGATCACACAACGACTGAACTGAAGGGTTGAAGTTGAAACCCCAAAGTCGCGTCAAAGAGATGCGCGAAATAAAGAGAAATCAAACAACAGAGAGGTACGACAGCCAGAACTATTGTTAGATCTACAAACTCTCGAAGAACAGCAAGCACAACTGAAGGGTTGAAGTGAATCGACCCAAATCGCCTCTCAAATACATACGGAAAAAGAGAGAGAAACGAGAGGCACAAATGCCCTAAAATGAGAAAATTTTGATTTCGATCTACAAACTCTTGAAAAACAACAACTGAATCGCCCCAAATTGCCTCTCACATACATGCGGGAGAAGAGAGAGAAACAAGAGGCACAAATGCCCTAAAAATGAGAAAAAAAATTTATATACCTGATATCAGTGCTACAGTGTCTCAAATCACTTGATACCAGTGCTACAGTGTTTGGCCTAAGTCTAATATCGCCGCTACAGTGTAAAAACAACCAATATCACCAAATTCCTGAAATAGGCTTTGGCCCAAATCTCATAATATTTTTACACTGTTTAAGACCACATCAGCCCACTCCAAACATGATATTGGCCCAAAAATGAAACCAAAATATGAAAACAATAACAAATATGGGCCTCCAAAGAGGCCCTAAGTGGTTGGACCATTAATTTTGACTTAATAGAGGAGAATAATCCAGTGTGGTTGCACTTAGACAGCAACCGAGAGCTCAGCTAGTCACAAGAAGACACATCAGCTAGAGGGGGTTATTAGGCGCGTGTGCAGCGCGTGAGAGCACGTGGGGGCGCGTAAAAACACGTGGCTGCTTGTGGTGACGCGTGGAGGCTCGTGCAGAGGGTTTGGGCGCGTGTGGAGGTGTTTCGAGTTCCAGAAAGGTCCTATGGGGTCCGGTGAATTTTCAGAATTTATTTTAAGCTTGTTAAGGTAGAAATTAACCATTATAGATTGTGTTCTTGGTGTTCTGAGAGCCTTAGAGTGTTACTAAGATATTTAGTAGCATTTACTTGGCATAAATATAATTAATTAAATATTTTGCCATGAAAGGAGGTGTGTGTGTGTGTGTGTATATATATATATATATAGTAATATATGTGTATACATATGATTGATTTAATTTATGATTCGTATAGAAGGAGGTACATATATATATATATTTATTTATTTATTTATTTTTATATATATGTATATATGATTTTAAATAATCAAGGATTATTAAGGATATATATATATATTAAATAATATATGTGTATCTGTATATATCATTTAAGATGATTAATATTAATTATTCTTATTTGGTATATCTGGATAGGCTGGTTATTAAATTAATGTTCTACTTATGATATGCATGCGATGTCACTACAACAAATTGGGCCTTTTGTGACGATGTTTTAGTGACAAAATATTATTTGGTCACTAGTAATGATATTTTTAGTGACAAAATATTATTTTGTCCCAAAAAGTACAGTTTTTGATGACGAAATATTTTTTTTGTTGCCAAAAACTCGGCGGGAAACTTGATTAGCATTCCCACAGTTGTCAAAACGTTTTCGATGTGATTTATATTTTGGAACTCAATGACAAAAAATATTTCGTTGCTATTTTTAGAGCAATACTCTGTTGTTTCTAACAATGTGCTATAGTTCAATTTTATAATATAAGAATAAGTAAAAATCAAACCAAACTGCGTTGTATTAGTCTTTTCCCCACTATGCCCTTTTCATTCATCTTGTAAAACCCTAACCATGTCAAACCGCAACACTGTCTTTACTACCACCCACTTCAATGGCTTCCCTCTCAACCACTTTTCACCCCCTGAATAAATTAACCCATATCGGTCACCTGTTCCTCAACTTTCAAATCGTCCAACCTCTAGCTCCCAATCCATAGATAGGTCTTCAGTTTTGCTGGCTGAAAACGTGTTTAAGATGGCTAAATTCGAGCTCCATCAACTAGCATGGACGATCTGAGTTGCATGTGGACGCTGGAGGTACATTCGTATTTGTTTTACAGTTGTAAAAAACCCTAGCCTCCATTACCGAAGAAACCCCTAATTATAAATTCAAGCTACAAGCCTACGCTTTTCATTGAATGTTTTGACCAACACGATGTTACTATTAGACCATTTGATGAGGTGAGTTTACTATGACTATATAACATTATTTTATATTTTTGGTGTTTTTTTTTTTATTTATGATTATTTGGTTTTGTTGTAGCCGTGGGTTGGATATGTTGAAGCCAAATCTAACTTCAACGGCTATCTCACAGGCAATAATTCTGCCTAAGGGAAGCCTTTTCTTCCTCAACATCTTCTTCTTCTGTACGCAATTTCTTTAATAATTAATAAATTCTTGTTTTTCTTTTCATCAATTGGACATAGATGACCTTTTGACATTTTCATTAATTTGTGAATAATTAGTTTTGTTGGATCACTTACTCATTTAAAAGATTGACTTCCAGTTCAAGTGAGTGGTTCAAAAATTATTTCAATGTTGATTATGTGTTCATCATGTCATGTTTAGAGATAGATTTGGATTATTAAATGTTCAAAGTTTTGCTGAATAATGTACATATGTGATGGACGTACTAATGACTCAACTCTGTGACATAATAAATCAGAACAATAGAATGCCAATTCAAATTATGCCTCTCCTCATTGCTGTATACATAATTCAGAAGGCTTTATTTTTCTTTGTTAAAAATTCTGTACATAATTTGTCAGTTTATATACGAAACTGATCTTGTTTGAGAGCAAGTAAACCCTAATGTTCTTTTAACTTCCACCTTTAAAAACTATTGTTGAGTATAAATCCAATGTATTGAAATGTCACATATGGTGTGTAATAATGACTGATACTCACTATGATAAGGTATATTGGTATTGTTTACACTTCTTAATAATTTAACTTACTTTACTTTTTTTTTTTCTTTTTTTTTTCTAGGATGGAGCATTGGAACACTTTGATGCCTATTAAAGGTCTCAAAAAACATTGTTCTGATCTATGGAGGTGGTAGCATGGGTTTGGTTTCACAAGTTAGTTCATAATGGTGGTTAACGTGTTATTGGGTGAGCTTCCTTGTCTTTTGCTTCTTGCATTGTGTCCTCAAACTAAACTCTCACATAAATTAGAAAAACAATGTGATTAAGAAACAAAATAACTAAGTTGACTATTATGTTTTTTTTTTTGGGTTCAAGTCTTACCATTCCGGCAAGCATCATAATTGTGGCATTGCATAAGTGCATATCACTTCAAGGAAAAAAAACAAAAAATAGGTTATTGTGTCAATATATATATATTGCTTCTTTACTCTCTCTCTCTCTCATATATATATATATATATATATATATATATATATATAGATATTGTCGGTTTAAATGAATGTGTGTGTAGGAGCAGGTTCTTAAAATTATGCCTTTTTTTTTTTTTTTGTCAGCTGATATTTACAGATGTATATTTTATTTTTTAGTTCAAATCTTTCATCTG